TTTTGTCTTTTTGGAGAAGGCAGCTCATTAAAATCAAAAACGGGCCCCCACTTTTTCCCTTGGAAATCCACTGTGCTTCTGCGGGTACTTCCCTAGAAGTGAACAATTCCCACTGATCCAACCTGTGTTGGGTTCTTCCCTTTGCTGCGCACCAGAAGAGCGAAAGAGGGCAAGTCATGTTGGTCTTGGAAAGTTATACTTTTTGGTGTTGGAAGAAACCTGTGTGCAGCCGTTAGAGTCTTGATAGCAGTTGGTTAGCTGACGTGTCCATCATGTCATGCAGAAGTTACACTACCATTTGTAAAGGGAATTTCGGTGAGTCACACTTAAATGGGAATGAGGGGCTTTCGTGTTGGGGTGATTTGGGTCAAAGGCATTTACAGGTCTGGGTGGGTGTGCCTAGCTTATATTGGTAAAGATCCATACCTGCGAAACTATAAAAATTGGTGTGTCTTCTTGTTGAGGGCTCCTTCTTTGGGTGAAAGGGGGTATCCTTCCAGGAAGCCAGAAAACCATGTTGGGGTCAAAAAGTCCTCGGTCTCGTCTCGGAATCCGAGGCCGGTGGCCGCGTTGGTGGCGCGCTACTCCTCAAACTTTATGCTTTGGCTGCGTGGCAAAAGGGGGGTTCCGTCGGGTTTCCACGGGAAGGTGGTGTTGCCAGCCTTTGACCACCAGGGAGCCTGACAAACAAAAACACAATTTTGGTGGGGGAAGATGTTGGCATGAAGCTTTCGGGCCAGATGTGTGTCTTGTTTCCCTTTGACCAGGGAGCCCTTTTTGAGGACACGACCAACCCCCTACTGAGGAAACCCACCCAGTTTGGTGGCAAAATGGAATCCCATGGAGAGAGACAATTGCATGGCTCAGGTTCTCCGAACCCTTCTAAAGCAACCCTTCTTTGCGGTGCGTGCTTCCTTGGGGGGTTCCTTCCATATGCAATATGCAGTTCAGGCAAGATATGAGGGCCGTGGTTTTGCCGGGTTTTGTTTCTCAGGAGCCCATGCTTTGATTCCTTTAGGCAGGGCGGCTCAGGCCCAGCGCCCGTTTTTGGGTGGTGAAGGGTGCCTTGATAGAAATCCGGGCTGAGACAAATTTGCAGGTTTGATCGCTGAGGCTCAAGGATCTCGAAGCCAAGGGGGAGCTCTCAGACGTCATTCAGGGCGAGGACGACGCTTGGATTTGAGAGAACATTTGCTGCGGCAGTGGCATACATTGAAAGCCTGCTTGGTAGCCGGAGTGATGACCTCGTATGTTCCGGGTAGTGAATTGCATGTGAGCATATGGTCAACTCAGTTGTTCAGTGGCTCCCTTTTTCCCCTTTTTTTTGTGTGGCTGCCCCACTTCCCCAAAAAGGGTTCCCCTTTTTTTCCAGGGTCACTGAACAACTGAGTCAAGATCCACAGTCATGTATCGCAGAAAAGCGGATAAGGTGACGGGCGAGATTCGAAGCTGCTTGGCTGCTGTTGCCTGTGTCATGTCTATTGCATGTGATTTGTGTTTGTGTGTGTGTGTGTGACTGTTTGCTTAAGTGCGAGTGCATGGTGTCTGTGTGTGTGTGCGTATGTCTGTTGTGTGTGTGGCTTTGTTTGATTCTTTGGATTCTTTGTTTGATTGATTGCCGGGTCAGCTGATGAGTCGCTCACCTGATTGCTTGCTTGCTTGCTTGCTTGCTTGCTTGCTTGCTTGCTTGCTTGCTTGCTTGCTTGCTTGCTTGCTTGCTTGCTTGCTTGCTTGCTTGGTTCGATGTGTGGGTGTCGATGTGTTTGCGCAAGTGTTTGTGTCAGTGATTTGTCAGTTGTGGTCGCGCGTGTTTTGTGCGTGTATGTAGGCAGTGCGTGGTCGTTGGGTAGTGTGTGTTGGAGTTGTGGTTATGCGTGTTGCATTTGGTGCTGATTGCAAATTCAGTTCTTGCTCATGTCAGCACTGCTCACGATTAGTCAGATGCAGACACACAAAGCCAATCACGACGCCACGGAAGCGTGCTCAGGTTTTCTCGATGCTTGAAATTCATGATGCAGAGAGCCCCCGAATGGGACATCTCTCATCAGGTCAGCATGAAGGCTCGTGGTAGTATATGGTCCACAACAAGTTCTTTCCTTGTTCAGACTACGCCTTCATTGCTCGCAGAAACACAGCTTCCAGCTCGCTTCCGAGCGCGGGGGCTGGCCACTGTGGCCAGCGTGCTTGTCAGGACGCCTGTGAATGTGTTTTAAGTCCCGTTTCACTTACTGCACATTGGCCTCCCGGAGAAATGTTCCACGACTCCATGAGTCCAGCTTTCCGCCACGGCCATCGGCACCGACAGGGCGCCCACCAAGTGGGCTCAGATGACAAGGGCAAAGGGATCCGGTGGTTTGCGCCTTAGAATCAAATGGAAACCATGATCAAAAGACACGTGTTCCACGGTGTTTTTGGGTAATGAGAAAGGCCGAGCCATCGCAAGTGTAGAGCCGAAGTGTTTGCACCTGTCTGGCGTTACGAACCTTGAGCTTACGAGCATCGGTGAACAACAGCATGACTGGGTGATGTAATTCATGATTGAGAATGACCACCCTTACTTTGGTCTTGATTTCTCCTTTTTGAGATCCGGAAATAAAAATCCGGATGTCTCAAACGCCAATGGACCATCTAAGTTGTAATACCCCTGAATTACTTCGATGTCCTAAGTAAGGGTCGTAGGCTCGAATCCCCCTACCGGCTCTTTCTCTTTTTGCCGAACATCTTGATTTGTTTTGCCGAAAACGCTGGAAACACCGTGTTTTTTTTGCGGAAAAATGTTGGGGAGTAAAGGGGAAATGCAAGGAAACATAAAGAAATAAGGGGAGGAAATAGGAAAATGAAAAAGAAACAAAAGGGAATTGAAAAGGATATGAAGGATAGAAATGAAAATAAGGAGAATGAAAAGGAAATAACAGATAAAGTAATTAATCGGTACGATGGGAGATATAGGAAAATAACTCGCAACGAAAGAACGAGATATGTATGGAAAATGAAATGGATATAGCAAGGAAATAATAGGGATATAAAGGGGGAATTAAAAGGAATGGAAAGGACATAATTAGGATATTATAGGATATATGAAAAGGATATGAAGGGGAAATTAAGGGGAAAGCTATGCGATAGATTATGTTTAGTGGAGCGTTATTAAATTATTGTGCGATATTCTATATATTAGATATCGGGTTGGGGGGGGTTGGGGGGGGGGAATATGTTTTATTTTGTGTTAGGTGTTCGATACGATGATTAATATCGACGGATATTATTATTGAGTTTGGAATATATATTGATTAGGAAATGAATTATTTGTTTTTTTAGTTATATGGATTAGTTTGAAAAAGATATTTAGGAAATTATATTTATGAGTGTAATTTAAAAAATCGATACTAACATGGAATAATTATAAGTAATTATAAGGATTAAAATTTGTATATTTCCGCTTGTTTAATGTTTAATGTTATGATATAGGTTGTTATAAAGGAAATAATTTAGGTGGTTAATATTGTAGAAATATTTGTGAAGGAATTTTTGAAGTAGGTGAATGGTGTTGTGAAATTATGGTTGTAAATTATTATTATTTTTTTCTCCGGAATGGGTTTGAGAAGAGGTTTTACGAGGATTGTATTATGGTTTTATTATGGTGTTATTAGAAATTTTATTAGGGTTTTACCGAGGAATCTACGAGGTTTTGTAAGGGTTACGGCAAGGGTTATGGGGTGGTGCGAGTATAAAAAATACCGTATTAAATTTAAAATGGGTTTGGGAATTAAAAGAGTTAGATGGTACAAAATAACATTATTGTTTATTTATATTTATAAGTTGTTGTTTGATTTTTTAAGGTGTTAGGTTTTGATTTTTTAAGGTGTTACTTATATAAAATTTGGGATATGGATGAATTGATATATGGATAAATTATAAGAAATAATATATATTAATATTGGATTGATTTAGTTAATAATTTCTTTTATATATATGAATTATGTTTGTGATATAAGGTCGAATGGAAGTGTTTTTAGATATTTTTATGCAAATATAGAAAAATTAATTGATAATTATGAATTCGGTACGAGTTGTATTGATATAGGTAAGTTGTTGGTATGTTTCATATTGTAATACCGTATAGGAATTGAGATTGGGTAAGCGTATGCGATAGTGGACGAGCACGAATATGAATATAAGTGTGGTTGTGCAAATATATGGTTATATTGGTATATTATATATATTGTTTAATTTAGATATATAGATGAATATATATATATATGGAATATATATTAATTGAAGCAATAGGTCTGCTATATATAGATATACATTTATAAATATATATATATATATATTTATTTCCAGCATATATATATATGAATTGAATTGGAAAATTAATATATATTTCTTATGAAATATATATATATACTTAAAATATATATATGTATGTGTTTACTTATGACATATTAACATTTTGTTATATGGAATATATATATTTATTTAGAATATAATGATATATATGTATATTTAAATTATTTATAAATTATATATATGATTACCTGGAATACAATTATATAAAATTAACAAATATATATGTAGGATATATATATATATATTATTGGAATATAAATATATATTTAAGAATATTATATATATGATTAAAACACATATATATTTACACATGAATATATATATATATACTTGAATATATATATATATATATTTATTTGAAACGCATATATACATATATATATATATATATGCGTACCTCGAAAACAACTATGCATTTTCTGGAGCCTATGCATGTGCACACTTAGAGAGCAAATATGCATGTTAGATATAGAATATGTTCCCCTAGCATATAATAATATGTTCATATGGAACATATAGATGTGTATAGATGAACATACATATAAAGATTTTGATAGATGTGCACCCGGAACATATACTAGTGTGTTTATTCGAAAACAATTATATGTTCTTTTGGAACAAAAACACGTGTCCAATTGGAACACACATATATA